TTAACTTTAATATATTTATTTATAAATAATATAAAGTTATATTTTAATTAATTAAAATTATATATATTTTTTTTAAATTTTAATTTAAGTTTATCATATAATTATTTAATAAAAATTAATTTTTTTATTTAATTTTATTAAAAATTTTTTTAAAAATTATAATATAATTTAAGTATTTTTTTTTAATATATATTAATAAAATAATTTTTAATTATATAAATTTCTTTAATATTTTTAAAAACTTTTTTAAATTTTTTTATATATTTTTTATAATTATTATAAAAATTTTTAATTTTTTTAATTTTTTTAACTTTAGTTTTTAAATAATTATTTAAAATAAATTTAAATTATTATAAAGTTTAATTTTTAAAATAAAAAATAATAAAATATAATTTTTTTTAAAAATATTAAAAATATTTTTAAAGTTTTTAAAATAAACTTTAAATTAAATTAAATATTATTTAAATTTTTTAATATTTTTATTATATATAAATAATAATTAATATTTAATAAAAATTTAAAAATTTTTTAATTAATTATTTTTTATTTTTATTAATTTTATTAATAAAAGTTTTATTAAATTAAAATATATTTTAAAAAAATATTATAATTTAATATTTAATTAAACTTTTTTAATTTAAAATATTTTTTTTAATAATATTTTTTTTTATTAAATTTAAATATATTAAAATTAATAATTAAAATATTAATATTATTAAATAAAAATTTAAATATAAAAATTTTTTTATTTAAAAAATAATTAATATTTTTTTAAATAAAAATTATTAATATATAATATTTTAATTTTTATTTTTAATATAAAATAAAAGTTTTTAAAATAATAAATTTAAATTATAAATTTATATTAAATAAAAAAAATAAAAAGTAATTTTTAAATAATTATAATTATAAATATATAAAAATAAAATAAAAAATATAATTTATATTTAATTTTAATCTTTTATTAATAATTAATTATTTAAACTATTTAAATAATTATAATAAAATAAACTTATATATTTTATTATGTTTTTTAAATTATATATAAATTAAAATGTTTTTAAATTATATATAAATTATAATATTTTTAAATTATAATAAATTATATTAGTAATTTATTAAAGGTATTATATATAAACAATCTTTTTTTAATTGGTTGGTTAGCTTAGGACATATTCTGGGGTATATACCTTTCTGGCTTTATATAAAGTTAAGTTATAACAGTCCTACTTAAAGTATTAAACTAAGTTAATAAAAATAGTTATTTTAGGTTGCATTATTTAACTTTACATAGTTCATATATATCAGCAGTTTACTAGTAATCAGCGTATTGTTGCAGTTGAACAACCAGTGGATTAATGAACAGGTATCCTTAGGTAACTTCGCAAGGAATCCGACGGGCGCAAATTTGGGAACCCAGTTGCATTCGTACTTATGGCGCGGGTGCTTGAATCCACGACGTGGTAAGGCAATTCTAATGGCATATGATAGAAAAGGTGGTGGGGGTGCGCTGCGATAAGTCGGTCCCGGCTGTTGTGGAGGCCTGCGTGATGATAGATTAGCTTGCCTGCTGGGTAGCTTGCAAATGTGAATTAGCTAACCCTGTTTGGATCGGGAGGAATGCCGACACTGCCGCCAAAGGGGTGTACTAAATTAAACTACTGTAAAATACGGGGCTACAAACATCATGGGGTCGATCATGAAATCAATGAGCTGGGTTGTGGACCAATCATGGCACAATCAAATTCCAATTAGGGAAAGTGGTACCTTCCAAGCATAGTATGATTTAGCGTTGCCGGCCGCTATGGGAGTGGCGCGGCATAATTCGGCTAAAAACCCCAGTTTACTAGTCAGCTGGCCTCCGAAAAGCAATCACAAGCGTGAAATGACAGTGAGTTAACCCTTATTGCGCTAAGTAAGCCTTACCTACAAATTACAGGTTAAAATACATTTAATGTGCATTTTATGACACTGCCGAGTGGCTTGAGCGTTGTCGGGACTGAAAACCCCTATTGATGCCGGATTCACTACGACACAGACGGTGAACTCCACTTTGAGCCCATTTTAGTCCAATCACAGGTCTGGGTTGCGCCAGGTTATTGGGCAACTTGTCAGCAACAGGTACTTACCTACCTTGTCAATAGTTTGGAATCAACAGTTTGGAATTATGAAATGGAAGGCCAGGAGCTCGTAATATAGAGAGCACTAAGTGGTAACTAGACTTGGGTCATTGGTATGAGAGCCTAGTCAAATTCGTTTGCTGAGTTTCGAACGCGGATGTGGCCAGAGACGATTATTCAGAGATTCAAAAACAGTTAAAGAAGCCAATTAAATATTGAATTTGCTTCAATTATCACAAAACCACATTATGAATAAGCCAGACGAATGCGTTGGATGTCGGATCGTAATATATCTTAATATATTTCGAAGAAGCGCGGAAGTTGTGTCTTCCCGAATTAATGCAGGGTTGAGTACCAAGATGTAGAATACATAACGACCGTTTGCTGCGAGATTGCGAAAGGATAAAGTGAATCTTGCTGAGCCAAGTCCCACCAGACGGTCAACACCGTGAATAGCCTCCGCCAAAGAACTGCGTAGGTTTAAGGGCCTCATGTGGGCACTAAGTATGGATGTTGTTACGATCTAATATATACTAAAGGCTAATATAGATTGGGTTTACATCAGAAGCCATTAGATAGCTAGCTAGCTGCTTCATGGGCCCCTATGTGACGAACCGTGGACCTATAGGTTAGTATAGGTTAGGATTTCCAAGGGACAAACCTAGATTCTGGGTTTATGTTGGCGGATAGGTCAGGCTGGTTATTCCGGCAATGTAATTCTCTTAGTCACGAACGAGTAGAGTAGGTCAAGTAGACTTAATCAAAGTTGTTCATGTTATTCACAACTGGCTACCTAAGCTATCTGAGTGAGTGTGATGAATTGGACTTATATACCCTGTTGGATATCTAAGGTCGACGTCGGTTAGTGTCGACTTGCACCTTGGTCGACGTCGGTCAGTGTCGATCTTTTGCGCCGCTTTAATTGTATATTTCCACTAATCTAACATAGTGTTACATAATATAACTACTTATATGGTTGGGCGGCGGTTGGGCAGGAGGTCCCTAGCGAATTGAGCAACGGGGGATCCTTGATTTTTTATCTAAAAGAGTAGATAGTTGTTTTCTTATATAATAAATAAATTTTGTTTAGTAACGGAGGTTCTCCGTAATGCTTACTTTCTATGTGAATGAGCGGCTTGATGATGACAACCTTGGCTTATTGCCTTTAAGAAGCCGCTTGTTTGTGACGACTTGGCCGTGAGCTTAGATTGAGTGGTGATATCCTAAATTACGGCGGTTGACAAGTACATCTTGAAAGGATTTAGATCAATATCCTCTTTTCGCCTCCTAACATCCATCTTGACTAATGAGTCTATTCCCAAAGTGAATCTAAACTATTAAATTTCAGGCTGCCTGTTATGCAACCTCAGATTATACTTCAGCAAAACGTGAACTAAAACCATCTTAATCTCGTTTGATGTAAAGAAACGACCAGGGTAGGTATGTTTTCTGTGTCTGAAAGTAAGATGGTTTGGACTAGTCGTCACGGGCTGAGCTGTATTCTCCTGACCATCTACTTGACGTCTATTGAAAGGACAAATCCCATCCCACTTTTGAGGATTTTTATATACAGTGGGGTCCTACATGCGATCTGCCGAAACAGCGGTTAGGGATGAAGGTGCCGTCGGGGAGCTTGATGTCGGCGTGGACTAAGCGACGCATTGCCACTGGAGATGAGATGTTAGTGTGTATGTAGCTAACAGATTATAGACGCAGTTTGGGTCTTGTAACTGTTAATAGTAGAAGAAATCAACATCGACTCTTTCAGATAGAAAATCAAGAGTACCTCGTTGCCCGATTCAAAGGGGATCTTCTGCCCCATCGTCGTCCAGTTATGCAAACAAGTCGTGAAGAGTGACACGCCGCAATGTAACAGTCCAGCCAGTGTATTAACAACTGACTAGATGATTCTAACGGATATCCAAATATAAGAAAGAAAGAGAAAATAGAAAAGAGAATAAGGAAAGGAGAGCTCTGAAGCTCCTGTGGTTACCGCTGCTAATCTCGCTTATGCTGGGTCTCCGGCCTACCAGGCCAGGGACGGAAGACGAGAGTGGAAGCCGAGTCGTCATCAGGTTCAGCCCGTTACAAGCAAGTGTAGTGTAACGAAATAGCAATGGATCACCGACTAACACGGGTTTGTCTTTCCTTGATGATAGACAGACACCAGGAAAGTACTTGCTTATTGAATAACATACATCCAAATCTCCTCCGGCCAGTTTCCATTACAGTGCTAAGAGGATTTTGAATCAGCTGAGCTTAATTCTCATGCCCAAAATTCCAACTGACGCATGTATTGCAGCCAAGACTACTCGGGTTTGATGTATTCAACAGAGTCCTCATACACTTTTCCTATGCTTGAAATCGAACTTGATGCTCTTGATGGGGGATATACCTGCCGTGGAAGCTCTTGGCGTGTAATAACCACATCTGAGATTGAACTGAGTTGCTGAGCTGGTATTGGGACTGATATATCAGGAGATCTGACCAGAAGTTTCTTAATAAGCGGTTTCACCAATGGCAAGCATCCGCAAATAAGTGTGATATTTATCTCTAGTGAAGTCCACACTGATTGAGCTATTGTGACATCAGCAGAGAACGCCGTATCACCACTGAGTGATGCATGACCGGCCCGACACTTACAATTTATATAATCCAAACTTGCCTTCTCCGATCTCATCACGCGAAAAAGTCTGAAACTGCAGGCACTAGATTGCATCAGTACAGAGAAACAACACTCGACCATAAAATGCTTACAGGGGCTACTTACAAGATTCCCAGGCTGAGGAGACAAGTCGCAGCGAGCTTCTGCCTCAGGGAGATTTTCAGTGTCCAAATGGGGTGTAATGGGATAATAAGCAGAGCTGAATCTCCTAGTAAGGCTAGCGCACCGATCGCAGCTGAAAACGCCTGACTTGGAATACAATGCCCAGCCTGATGCTCGTCATAGAAATACGATATAGGCCAGCACTGAAAGATGCTGATCAACGAAGCACTGATCATCCAAAGAATTATGAAGATGCCAAGCGAATTGAGACATCTAGAGACAGCGGTCTTGATAGCGAAAACATGTTTGAGAAAGAAAATAACACCAAGCTTGATGAAACCTATCGACATCGGCCAGAAGTCTTGGACGAGCCAGTTACCCTATTGTTTACATGTCAGTCAATAACATGCTTCACCACGACTAATGTTCATTTCGCCTGCGATCTTACGTATTTCAATCGACTCTCTTCTTCAGAAGAATCTCCAAAGGCAGGACCGACATCGATGAAGGAGGCTGTTGACCAGAGCAACGTTAGTTACAGCACTTGGAGAGACGAAACGATTAAGTTTTGGGAGATTTGTAGCTCAACTGACTCTGAAGAGTCGCACCGGTAGCAGCATAAGACAACAGCAGGCCAATTCCCGTTAAGTAGTCATCGACCCTACAGGAGCCATTTGTTATGCGCGAGGCGCAAACACGTAGAACATATAGAATCGTCGACATCATTGCGAAAACGATGGGAAGCACGACTGAGATGGTCTTCCACGATGCGCTGATTCTGGACTCGGAGTCGGCCATGTTCGGCTATGCAATTTCGATCCACACGCTCTCATATGTAGATATGGTATATCCCTTTAGTGTCGTTGTTAGCTTCTAGGTACAGGGAAGAGTTTCAAGCTTTAAAGGATGATAGCGGCCTAGGTTTGCTTTATTATGTGCCGCCCATGGTTAGCAAATTACTAATGACGGACAGTGTCCATCGACGACAAACTGGGATCCACATATGCAAACCTGGTGAGACATCTCCAAAATGAGGGCCCCGATGGACAGGCGGTAGAGTGTCCAGTTAAAATTGCGCTGAATATTTAGACATGCAGAAGTTATCTTGAATTACGGGGTTAACGTAGTTCACGGACCCTGAAATTAAAATTAACGATTTCATGGGTTAAAGGTTTTCTCTGGTGCAAATACAATCATCGATTGAGACCCATGGCCTATTTCATGGATCGCAGCGTCGTTCAATACAGCTCGTTTGAAGGATGTGTCACGGAGGATGTTGCAGGAAATTGTTAGAGTGACTCCTAAGAATGAATTAGAGAGAGACATGGTGCCATCTTTCTTAGAACGATAACATTGTACTGATGTGTGGGGTGTGTGTATTGTGTGTTTTCTCATCCCGCAATTAAACCTGAATTATGCAAATTCTGAGTAGCCTCCGCCGTTGTTTGTATCACTGCCTCCATAATCCATAATTTTGTATCGTTTTATGCCTTACACCCCTTACAAATGGTCGCTAAGCCGGCCTTTGGATATAACGATATCGTAAAGCTGAGCATGGTGTGTCGGACATTGCGTCCATATAACGATATTGCATTTGGACGAAAAAATAAAAATGAGGGCGGAAGTAGCCTGTAGTTTTCTGGAGGACCTGGGTTACGCCGTACAACGCAATACACACACCCGATGTGTTTAAATTACAGCACTTGAGTCACGATATGCCCCTGGGCGAAGGCTCAACCCCGAGCCTAACGAAAAAGAGACACAAGATCAGACGATTTGACCGGAGAATGATCAATTCTAGTTCTAAAATTATTACATGCGCCGCATCGTGACTCAAGATTGCCCCGGGTGTATCCAACAGCAATTGGACAACACGCATTTCCCACAGCATACGACGTAACATGGCCAAGGAACCGATGTTTATGCCTGCTCAAGAGGCCATCCCGGGCTGGCAAGGTGTGTCAGCACCATAATCTATTTCTCCACCCGTGATTCCACATCCATCGCCGATCCGCATTCGTGGAGTGCAGTTGCGCTGTTGTTGACACGCTTCCTCCACCAGACAGATCCGATAGCGTCCTCAGTGTCTGATTCGTGGGAAAGAGTCCGAGCCCATCGCCGACGGCCCGCCAGTTAGGCCGCCCCAGCAATAAGTGGTCAGGGGGAAATTCGACAGACAGCATAGGCCACAGTTCGGCTCGAGATTATAATTTTGACGTCTTCCTGTACCCGCTTATCACGGCCTAGACCTGCCTAAAAACAAGGTGGCTATTCGTTCACTTTCCAATCAGCACGCTAGTAGTGTTAAAGAGTACAGACATATCAGAATTATACCCGTTGGTTCCACTTTTAGTGACCAACTGTAAGGCTTTGCCTTACAATTGGGCCAGAAATTCATAAAACGCCCGGAAAATGGAAACAGACCTAGTTTAGTTCTAACCCTTATACAATTTATATAGAAATAACAACAACAACGTATTATTAACGATTAAAATTATTATTAAATTTAATAGTAGAATTTCCTTCTACTTTTAAAACTACAGCCGCTGTTTTATTTAATTATAATTAACCTCTAAAGGTTTAAAAATTATATTTTATATAGGGTGCCACTATATACTTTAACGTAAGCTTTACTGCTGTTTAATATATAATTTACTCTTTTTAATACTTTAATCTTTTTTTATAATAGTTTAGTTAACTATACTTTTTAATAAATAAAAAAAATAATTTCTTTATTATATATATAATATAATTTTAATAAAAAGGGTTTTTTATTATAAAACTATAAATTATAGCTGCTAATAATAATCTTTAATAATAAAAAAATATTATTTAAAACCTTAAACTTATATTAAATATTATTTAATTAAAGTAAAATATAAATAAATTAATAAAAATTATAAATATTTAGTAAATTAAATTTTTATAATTAATTTTATAAAAATATTTTATTTATAATATATTATAATAAAAATAAATAAATATAAATTTAATAATTATTTTATTTAATATTAACGTTATATTAATATTTATAAAAATTATAATAATAATATAATTATAATTTTTTATAAATATATATTTTTTTATTTTTTTTATTAATATTTTATTTTTTTAATTATTTATTTATATAAAACTTTTAAAAAATATTTTATATAAAAATATAAAATTAAAGTAATTTTTATTAAAATATTTATTTATTTTTAATATATTTATTATTTAAAGTAAAAAATTAAAAAGTATAATAATAAAGTATTTAATTATAATATAATGTTAATAAATATTTAAAATAATATTATATAATAAAACTTTAATATTATTTTAAAAGTTTAATTTATAAATATAATTAATGTTTTTTTTTTAAGTTTTTAATAAGTTTTTATAGCTAAAAAATATTATACTTTTAACTTTTAATAAATTTTTTATTAAAACTTATTTAAAGCTATTTAAATATATATAAAGTTTTCTTTAAGTTTTTAATTATTAATATTTTAATTATAATTTTTTTATTTTATTAAATATTAAAATTAATTATTATTTTTATTTATTTTTAATAATATTATTTTATTAATTTTATATTTAAGTTTTTTATTTTTAAAAACTATTTTATTTTTAAAAACTATTTTATTTTTAATATATTTTTTTATTTTTTATTTATTAATATTATTTTTAATAATAAATTATAAAATATTTAATATATTAATTTTATATATTTATTTTATTATTTAAAAAAGTTTAATTTATAAATATTTTTTTTAATTTTTTTTAAAATTTTATAAAATTTAAGTTTTTAAAATTAAGTTTTTTATTTAATTAATTAATTTTAATATTAATTTTTTTTTATTATAAATATATTAATAAAACTAAATTATATTTTTTTTTAAAAAAATTTAATTTTTTAATTTTTAATTTATTAATATATTTAATTATTTTTATTATAATAAATTTAAATTAAATTTATAATTTATTATAAATTTTTTTTTAAATTATTTACCTAAATAATTATTAATTTAATTTTTTTTTTATTTTTTAATAATTTATATATATTAAATTTAAATTTATAATTTATATAAAATAATAAATATTTTATAAACTTTATAAATATACTATAATAAATAAATTATACTATTAATAAATATTTTACTTAATTATTTAATTTAAAATAAATATAATATTATAAATATATTTCAATAATTTAATTAATTTTTTTAATTTATTTATTTATTTATAAATAATAAATAATATTAATTTAATAATTTAAAATTAATAATTATTTAAATAAATAATTTAAAAAAACTTTATAATATATTATATATTTAACTTAAATATATTAAAAAATAAATAATTAAATATATTAATAAATTAAAACTTAAAGAATTAAATGTTTAAAAAAAAATATATAATTTATTTATATTAATATATTTATAGTAAAAACAAAGTTAATATTAAATAAATTAATTAAATAATAAATTTAATTTTTAAAACCTTAAATTATCTAACATTTTAAAAAAAATTAATATTATTAATTATAAATTTAATTTTTTAATATAAAAAAAATAAAATAAAATAATTTATTTAATATTTTATATTTTATAATAAATTAACTTTATAGCAACTGTAAATAAACATTTAAATAATTTAAATTATTATTTTTAAAAAAAGAAAATAAAAATAATAATAATATGCAGTTATACCTTAGCTAATATATATTTAAGTAATCTTTAGCTATTCCTTAAACTTAAGCTAAGTTTAGGTTAAACTTAGTACAGGCTTATAAAAGGCTTAAATTAATATTTACCTAAGTGTAACTTAAGTCTATAATATATTTTACTATTAAAAAAATATTAATAAGTAAAAAAATAAATAAAATTATAAAAAATAAAATTATTATTAAAAATATAAAACTTAAATATAAAATTAAAAAACTTATTATAATAAAATTTAATAAAAAAACTTAATAATTTAAAAATTTAGTAAAATAAAAAAATTATAATAAAATAAAAGATTTATAAAATTTTATTATATACTTTAAATATTTAAAAACTTTTTTAATAATAATATATTCATAATTTTATATTTTATAATAAATATAGAATTTTATAATAAAAATAAAATTTATTAATATAATATTAATAGAATTTTTATATTTTTTTTATTTAAAAATACTATTATTATTATATTTTTATTTATAATTAATTATAATAAAAAACTAAAAAATTAAAAAAAAAATTAAATAATATTTATTAAAAAATAAAAATAAATACTTATATATTACTTTAATTAAATTTTATAAATATAATTAATAAAAAAAAATTATATTATAATTTATTTTTTATAATTATAATAATAAATTTATAAAATAATTAAAAATAAATTAATTATAAATTAACTAATTAATTAATACTATTACTTTTTAAATTTAAAAAAGTTAAAAAAAATTAACTTTTTATTATAATTTAAAATATATAATTAAATATATAAGTTTATATTCATATTACTTATTTAAATAGCTTAAATAATTAATTATAAATATAATATATAAATTAAATTTACTTAATACTTTCTATTAGTTATATAACTATTTATATTACCTAAACATTTAACTTAACCTATTTATTAATATAAACTAAAATCTAAGTTTATCCTTTAGAAATCCTAACCTATACTAACTTATAGGTTTACAGTTCGTTACAGAGACATAAATAAATACAGTATTCTTTGCATTCTGAATATAATTAAACAAACAGGTTAGTATATATTTATTTATAAAATATACTCTATGGCTTCTAACCTATACCTCATTTAAAATATAAAGGAGTGTATAATTGAACTTTATGCCACCTTGGGTAGGTTACTAATTTAGGTCGTTAAAAATACCTAAATATCAGCGAAATGATATAACGCCCAGAGAGGGCTTTTTTAAAATACTGAGAATATTTAATAGAAAAATAAATAATCTAGCTGTATTTATTTCCTAGATTTTTGGAACTGAAGATAATACTTGGATGAAACATTGTTTCTTAATTATTCAGCCCTAAGATAGGTAAATTGTATTACCCTATCCTATACTTAATACACATATGTATATATAAATATATAAAATAAAAGAGTGCAGATATAAAAAGAGGTAATAATATAATAATGTAGTAGATATTAGTTAGCTAGATTTACTATTAAAGATAGAAAGTTATTATAAAAAAATAATTAGCTATAAATTTTATATATAGGCATTTTAATCGGTTCTCTTCTGTGTTGATGCTTTTTTCACTGCTAAGTATATGTATATGGCGATTGAACTGCTTACTCTAGGGCAGATAAACTAGGTTTCTGATATTGTGTTTGGTGTTAGTTGAGCCAGTTTAAAGTGCGTTCCTTAGCTGTTAATTAAATAAGATAGGATATTTATTTTATATTTATATATACTATTTAAAAAATATCCCCTTATATTTTTTGTTTGCGTTTTTATATGTATTCTAAGGGGTAGGGTTAGTTATAGGTTATATATATGGTGCTGTACTGTGACGCAGGTTTATTTTGGGATGGATAGATAATACTGGTGATGTTGATAAACCTAAGGTTATAAACTTATAATTGGTACGCAGCCCATGCCGTTAAAAATAGTATGGGGCCCCCTGCATTTGGCGGCCTACACCCCCCTGGTCCTGGCAAAGGGAAACTGGTCCCTAGGGCCCGGTATGGTTTGCATAGGGGGTTCGGGTTGTTTAGAGAGCTGCGGTGCAGTGCGTTGTGTTACAGGCGGTAGGGAGAGAGAATTATAAATATAAACGAAGAAATATGAGTTAAGAAAACGAGGAAACGAAAGGAGCGATAGGGGAGGTCGTGATGGTGCCTGTGGTTAGAAACGTTGGCAGATGTCGTCGAAATACCTGGAGTCTTTGATCATGCACATAATGGAAAGGATGTGATTATAAACTAGTTTTTTTAAGGCATACAGACACAAGCGGGCTCCATTCATTTGGAATCATTTTATAGCACCACAATTGTGGGCAGCTGGTACCAATACGAGTGCTGATATGACTGGGAGGGAAGTATGCCTCAAAGGTATAGACAAGAACTGACCTCAAGTATATACTTCTACGCCCTTGTGGAGTGATTCAGGTGCTATTGAGCTTCTGTCTCCGACGTCAAGCTAATGAGTTGATTCGGTTGCTGCACAGGAGAAGCCTTTGGCTATGTCATGCAGCTACAAAACTTCGCGCACCTAGTACATTGTACTTCACGATTCCACATATCACTGGTCATGGTGATGGATGTGGGCCAGTTGTTATGGCAAGGCCAAATCGGACGGTGGCGGTGGAACTCCAAGGCGGACGGACCAGGCCACCGTGCCGAGAATAGCGCACGATGTACTTGTGCCACTTGAGTAGCCACCAATTGCCTTTAACATATGAAGGACAGTGGTCGGTTATCGGCATTGCCTGTTTGGAATCAAAACATTTCGGCCAATTTTCAAGTGCGGCGTTGGCTGGAAGAAACCCAACTGGTGAGGGTTGAGCTTGGCTGGTAAACACTATATATGATCTTCAAGTCTGCCCAACCCACTATCCCTCTCATCCATCCTCTCAAGTTTCAATCTCTCTGAAAACTAACAGCGGCCACATGACTTTCAGCATCTTAAACCTGCTAGGAGGGCTCACGCTCGCTGCCGCCTCTATGCTACCGCAGTCCTGGCCATCGGTCTCCTATAAAACGGAGCCGTTCACAAGCCCGCTGCTCAACGTGACGCGCACGGGACCAACTGCGCCTGGTCTTATATGGTTTTCCCCTGCCGTCTTCTTCCCGCAGCAGGGAGGTCCGCCCACGTCGGAACTCTCGCCTTTTCTTGTCACACAGGAAGGAGAGGTTGTCTTTCACGGGCCTAATTATCCTGCAAGTCAGCCAGATTTTTTTGCTAATTTCAGACCGCAAATGTTCAGCAATGGAACGATTCTGTCGTACTATCTCGGCCAATTTGGACCAAGCATGGAGCAGGCTGTAAGTGCATGTTGACGTAGTGAGAAGTTCAGACATTCTCTGATGATTGACACCTAGCTTGGAAACGTAACGTTCCTTGACTCCAACCTCATGGTAACAAACACCATCTGTCTGGCAGATTACCCCTCATACATCCCAGGGGGCAAAGACTATCCTTGCAAAGTCGATCTCCATGAGTCCCGACGTCTGTCGAATGACAGATTTCTGGTGACGACCCATAACTTCACACAGACGGATCTTTCTGCCGTCGGTGGTCCCAAAGATGGTTGGGTTACCGACAGTCAATTCCTTGTTATTAACCCCTACACCGAGGAAATTTACTTCAAGTGGTCCAGCCTGGATCACCTCGACAAGCTTCCAGTCAAGGACTCTAAAATACTTCGACGCAACAGGGCCGGCCAGGAGTTAGGCATCACGGCGGAACTAGCTTGGGACGCAAGTGATCGTTAACCTTGATCCTGTTTCATGGGCTAATATTAGTCGATTTTAGTACTTTCACATCAACTCTGTTGATGAATTCGAAAACGGATACGTCATCTCGGCCCGCCACTTCTCCAGTGTCGTCTTCATCGACGAGCATGGAGAGGTAACTTACCGTCTGGGCGTATGTCAATAGTCTCCCATAGCCGAAGTATCGACTGACACATATACAGGGCGTCGACGGCCAGGACTTCAAGCTGGACCCTGCTGCCACTTTCGGCTATCAGCACGACGTTCATGCGCGCCGTGAGACTGACGGCTCCATCATGGTCACCATGTATGATGACGAGAACTATGACGTACCACCCATCAGCGAAGATAAGAGATCTTCCGCACTATCAGTGCGCCTCGATACGAAAGACATGACAGCCAAGCTTGACCGCCGTCTCTTTAGCAATGACACAGTTCAAGCCATCGGTTTAGGTTCATGGCAAGACCAGCCCAACGGGCATGTCTTTGTTGGTGACGCAACATTTCCGTCTATGTCAGAGTTTGACGAGAATAACAAGGAGGTGTGGAATATGCGCTACGGCTTTACAGGGCCGGGCTCGTTTCGCGCGTACAAGTTCACGGACTGGAAGAGCACTCCGTCGTACCCTCCTAAGGTGTTTGCAGAGTCTCTACAGGACGGTAGTGCGGTTGTGCACATGAGCTGGAACGGTGCTACAGAGGTTGCTAGCTGGCGCGTTCTCGCTGTAGTTGGGAGTAACGCTACATTTGTAGATGTAGGCACGGTGAAGAAGTCGGGTTTTGAGACGAGCTACACTGTCAATCGTGAAGGAGTGAAGGAGGTCATGGTCATGGCACTTGATGCTGACGGGAAGCATCTTAGCACGTCGGTTGCTTTTTCCCTGTAGGAAAGCATTAGGACCGCATCTATATGCTCATCGGTCGGAATGTATGTATTCAGATATTCCGCAAATAATAATCATCCTGTTCGTCGCTTTGGCACGCACTCTGCGCTTCCGCAGATCGGACCTGGACGTTTCCACCAGTCTTTTTATTTGCTATTGTCGGTCCATCTGCGGTTTCAATGAGAGAAGTCTTCTTCTTGGCATCTGGTGTGTGACGTTGGAATAGGATGATATCCTGTGCAAAGGCGACGCTGTAATTTTTTAAGCAATTATTTTCGCCTCATTTTCTCCTATGTCTCTTGTGATTCGGAGGTACTGGGGCAACGAAACTTGAGCATCCCGGGAAAACCCCTCTTCATCTTGCTGTCGAAAAGCAGCTTCACGGATTTATAAAGTGTTTTATGTTGAGCTATACCTAAATTAAAAAATACCAACTATTTTCTCTGCTTCTCCAGTGGCCTTTATTTGCCTTCAGTACGGATTACAGTTGCCCTATACATACTAAAGATCTATATAAAACATAGGAAATTAGCCAAAAGCTGGCTAAATTATTAAAATATTAGCAATACTCCTGGAAGTTTATTACGCAGACTAAACGGTAAGAAATTAAAAAGCTATAGGTGTAAAAGCTAAAATATTATTATATAATATATAATTAATACTTAAATAAAATAAAAAAAAAAGTATAAAGAAATCTTAAAAAAAATTAATATAATATTATATTATTAACTGTATGTAAACTTAGAAATATATATTAATAAATGTAAAATCGTTAAATGTACCTTTTAAAATGTGTTACGACCTGGTCCTTTGTGACAGTTAGATTCCTTATAAGCAGCTGGTTCTGTTATAATAATTACTATAAATGCAATTATTAGCTTAATCTTTTGCTCTGTTGGCCTAACGGTATAACGGACCGTTACAAGATGTATATCTTATTGTTAAAAATAGGGGCATTAACTTAGGAAGTATTAGTACCTAAGCGTACAGAGGTCAGTGCGGCTACAGTGCGTAAGTAGGAAGGCTACGCTTATATTGTAATAGTAATAGGCTAAACCAATTGATTATACAATTCAACACTTATTGTATTACTCTTTTAGGGATATAAATTGTTTATTTATTTATTTATTTATTTTATTATTAACGTCTACTAAGTAAGCTAGTTATATAAGTCTTTATTTAAGCATTAGGATAGTAAGAGTTACAGGTATTAAATCTTATAGTTACTATATTTTAATTTAATAAAAGAAAAAAGAAAAAAAAGTATTAATTTATATTTATAAAAGGGGGGCTGTAAAAGTTTATTTCTTTTATTAGTTTTTAAAACTTTTTATTATTATAACTTACTTTTTAAAGTTTTAATAATAGGCTTATAGAGTAAATAACATTAAATAATTATTATTATAATAAATTAATTATATTTTAAATATAAATTAATAAAAATTATTATTAAATTAAAATAAATATAACTTAATATAAATTATTACTAAATAATATTAAAAACACATAGTTAATTAAATATATAAGTTTATATTTTTTTATTTTAATATTAAATTTAACCTCTATAACTTTTATAAATTTATATTTATATTATTTATTTAAATAACTGTAATAACCTGTAAATCTATATATTAGTTTAGGTTAGGATTTCTAAAGGTTAAACTTAAATTTTAATTTATATTAGTAAATAAATTAAGCTAAATGTTTAAGTAATGTAAAATATAATATTATTAATTAATAAAAAATATTAAATAAATTTAATTTAAATATTATTATTTATAATTAACTATTTAAGTTATTTAAATAAATAATATAAATATAAATATATATATTTAATTATAAATTTTAAATTATAATAAATAATTAATTTTTTTAGCTTTTTTTAAATTTTTTTATAAAATTAGCTTTTTTAGTTTTTTTAAGTTTAAAAAGTAATAGTATTAATTAGTTAGTTAGTTTATAATTAATTTATTTCCGCCTATTCTATAAGTACATTATTATAATTATAAAAAC